TTGCATCAATACCCACGTGCAGGAAAATAAAGAAAATGGAAGGCAGACATAGGAAAGGAACTCCATCTGCCAAAGCACTTAATGATATAAGATTAGACACTTCAGGGCTGGCTGAGTGGCACATTGGTTAGGAGTTGGCTTGGGATGACAGTTTGCATCATAGCCAAAGAATATTGAGCTTGAGGAATTTACTTTTTGTTAGCAAGTGGAAGCGGCCTGATTTTTGTCCAGTGAGGCATGGAACCTCAATCCTCAATTGCTCACTGCAAATATAACCATGAGAAATGGCCTGTGAAAGGGCCTTGCATCCTTGGCACACTCACAGCTGAGGTCCATGGTAAATGGCCTCTCCCAACACCCACCAATATAAGGAGTACAAAGAGGATACACAGGTGATTATTCACACTTACAATTTAAAATATTTAATGTCTGTTACATGCAAAATTATATATATATATATATAATATATGTAAACATTCTACTTCTGAAATTTATCTACAGTTCTGCATATTGTTATAGTTTGTTCATTTTCATTACCATATATCATTGCATTGGGCGAATATGTAACAATTCATTAATTCATTCTCCTGTTGAACATTTGAGCTGGTTTGTAGTATTTTGTTATTATGTTACTATTCATGCATACATTTCCTGGTACATATGTGCAGAAGTTTCTCTAGAGTATTTTGATTAGGTATGAAATTACCTGATTATTAATGAGGCTAAAAATAACTGGATATATTTATTCACAATTTGTGTTTTCTTATCTTTGAATTGCATGTTCACATCTCTTACCCACTTTTCCAACAGGTTGCTTGTCTTTTAAATTTATTTTTAAGAGTTCATGATTTCATCACTGATGGATAGTTAAAACAGAATCTCTCAGGGATAGAAAGGAACATTCTTAATCTGCATACTGCTCCCCTCTTCCCCAAAGGTATCTATTAAAACCTGTAATTTCAGGGCCGGCTGAGTGGCTCAGTTGGTTAAGAGCTCACTTAAGAGTGTGATCTCTGAGCAACAGCGGTTTGAGTCTAGGCCCGAGCTGAGCTGCCAACAGGTGGCAGGATGACTCAGCTAAAAAAACAAAATGAAACTGTAATTTCAAACATCATTTTAATAGCAATATAATAAAAGCATTCCCTTTAAAATCAGAAGCCAGACAAGGATGTCTCTATTATGGCTTCTATTCAACAGTGTACAGGATATCCTGCCCAGCTCATTAAGGCAAGAAAAGAAATAAAAGATATAAGCTGGAAAGGTAGAAAGAAAAAGGTCACTAATCACAGATGATATGTCTACTTAAAAAAGCCAACATTGTGCACAGGAAAATTATTAGAAATGGTAAGAGAATTTATAAGTTGTATAGGTATGGATAGAATCATAAATGAGTGATGAATGAAATGTTTTTCTGCAATTGATGAGATGACGATGTACTTTTTCATCTTTAAGATATTGTGACACATCATATTTGCAGATTTTTTTCTTTTTTTTAAGAATTAAGCCACTTCTGCATTTGTTCATCTTCTATTGTGGTCTCATTCTTGGTTGATTTTAATCTGTGGATAAGCTGGAAGCCTAAATTGGCAATTCTTTCCTTCAGCAAGTATTTACATTTGTTTTTTTGTTGAAGCTGGTGACACCATGGACCTGGGCCCCTTTAGCTGCCTTCAAGGACCCAGGTTAGAGCCCGACAAGCCTCCAAATGAACTCCTTGAACTGGTTACTGGCAAGAGGCTGTCTCATGTGTGGTGTTGATGCTGGTCTTGGTCCTCAGACAAATACCCCTGATATATTAGCTTACTTTTTAATGCCTTGGGTGCAGGTGTGGCTTTTTTATTTTACTTTTTTCAGGGAGAGGGAGCTGGTGGTGTTAGAGATTTTCTTTAGTTCCTGCGAGCTCAGAAATGCATTACAAATTATGTTGTATGGAGGATCTGGTTGTTTTGTACAGGAAGGGATTTTTAAAAGAACGTTGTTTTCCACTTTGACCCACTTTTTTAAAACAAAAAAAAAAATCCATCCTTACAGCTTTCAAATTTCCTGTCTTATGAAATATCAAAAATCAAGATGTGTCTGAAATTGCTAGTTTCCTACTTAATATCCATTATCCATTTCTCTCTTAATAGCAGTGCTTCAAATGTATTCAGCATATTCAGCATTGCAGGGTGTCCAGCTGAAAAACTACATTTGCCAGTCTTTCTGGCAGCTAGACATGCTCAAGTAACTTGACTCTGATAATTTATCAGAATCTAGAGTCATTTGGTTGGGTTTGCAGGAAAGCTTGTTGACAGAGGTTGACTCAGTTCTTATGGACTCCTTTCGCCTTTTTTCCTTCCTCTATTTTCGTGCCCAAAAGGTTGCTTGGCGGTGATTACCCTTGAAAACCTTGCCAAAAGAATCCCCACAACTTTGGCAGTAAACTTCCTGAGCCACTGTAGTTGTCCTGGACATCCTGTAACACAAGAGAAAAATAAACTATCTTGTTGAATCCACTATTACTTGGGTTTTCAGTTACATGCAGTGGAATGCAGTTCCCAACTGATACAGCTCATGTCTGATTTTGATGTAATTTTTTAACATCTTTAAGTAGCAGGCTTTAGGGGAAAAAAAATCACAGGGACAAATTACATTTATTTTATATATTTGGTAATTTAAAGTGTTTTTTGCTTTATCATGGTTAATTATGGAAGCAGCTGGAGATTAGATGTATCTATCTATGCTTGTTTCAGGAAATCCTTATTGAAGTTTTAATTGGATCCTAGTCTAAGGAAAATTAAACTATAATTTAAATCAATACTTATTTATCTGATATTAGATATTTATCATGATTAACAACACATCTTACACTCCTAGTTAGAAAATTATCTAATTCCGTTTTTAATAATGCCTTATTTCCTCCAAGTACAACCATTAATGTACTTCGACTTTTATCATACTGAGTCTGTTTTAAAGGTATCGAAGATTATCTATGTATAGTTCTTCTACTTCCCAAGTATGAAAGTATTGGAATTGGCCACCCCTTTAACTCTTTTCATTTATTTTAACTTTTTTAGACATCTGGTAACTACTGTCATCCAGATGGCTGTATTGGATAAAAAACACATTCTACGTTCAAAATTAACAGTAAATGACTTTTCAGGTTTGGAAGACAGGGCAGTTTGACTTTGGTGTATAATCTTTATTATCAATATTTTAATCAATTTTTAAAAACTCATTCCATCTGAAGCTCCACACTCAGGCAGAATTGTAATCATGATCATTCCTAAGGGGAAGGGAAGAAATGAGCAGAAGAAATGTGAAAAAAGTGGATGCTTTGACCATTACGAGTTGAGCCTTCACAGTATAACCTCTACCTACCCAGACTGATTTAAATGTGTCTTGTCAGTGCTCCCAGAGTCCCAAGCGCTACGAAGACAACACCTCTGAAAATGCTGGAGGACCCACTGCAAACTGTTGGAGTCCTGAGGTGTCCAGAAGCGGGGGCTATATAACCAGCAGGGTCACAGGTCCCCCAGATACAATGAGCCAGAGAGGAAGGGACGCCAGGCTGACTGTCTCGAGGGTGCTGAGTTTTACGCAGAGCATCTACTTACTCTTTCCTGTGAGCTGGGGAGGACGGGCCTTAGTAACTGTGGATCAGGAATGGCAAACTTTAGGGATGTTTGGGAGGGCTTTAGAAAGGTTTCTCTTAATTGTTACCCTTATGTCATTGTAGCATACAGTGAGGGAAGGCCTTCAAGTCAAAAAAACAAATGCTTGGAGCTGGGTTTGCAGTTAGGAATTGTCTTATGGTGCTTTTTATTTTTACTTTTTTTCCACTCCACAAGGAGACAAAGGTAACACAGGCAATTATCCCTACCATATTCCTCTGGGAGGCAAGATATTTTTTTAACTTTTTATGATTTTACACTGAAGATGTTGTCCTTTGTGGGTCCCAGCGCTATGCAAGAGTCTGCACCCTAACATCCTACCCTCCTTGGCCACAGGACCCCTGTGTCCAGCACACATGTTAGTCACTAGAATCCAAGTTCTAGGTCACTGCAGATTTTCAGATGGATTCAGCCAAATGCCAGCGCTGGGGCTCGCTTACTGCCTGGATTCCTACTTCCTCATTCCTCCCAGTCTACTTGAGCTTCTAGTACTTTCCTGTCAGTTTAGCCATGCATTGGAAAAACTTTGTATTTGTTTGCTTTTGTTTTGTTTTATCCAGAATTTTGTGTGTTCCATTCTTAGGGAGTTTCTCCAGACATCTTGCCAGAAACAGATATCTAGACTTGATGCACAAAATAGATTGAAATAAAAGCACAGATACTCACAGACACAGTTCAAAGCTATGGCGGCTTGATGCTGAGACGCTGAGTATGGTTCCCGGGAAAGGAACTTGGAGGGGGCCGCTCTCACTGCTTGGGGTGCACATTGTCTCTATGAGAGCTCCCTGTAAAACAAACGCTGGAAGCTATTTTCATTTTCTTCATAAAAGTAAAAACGCTCTTTGGATTTATTTTGGTTAGCAAAAACAGGTACTAAGGTAGGTCTTTTGTAAAAGCAAAGTGGCATAATGTGAACTTTTGAAAAGCAAGGGTACCTGTACACTAGTGGGTGAGGTGTATTAGGCATTTAAGAAATATGAGGGAAATACTAATGTTGAGGACAGGGAAATTGGCTGTTGCTAAGCAAAATTGATTATTTGCAAAAAGCTGAGAATGGTAAATGGCTATTAAGAATCTTGAGTAAAATTCAGAAAGCCTCTTTGGTAGCAAATAAAGAGGCTTTTATCTCTTGCAGTGGAAGGGCAGAAAAAGCTGAGCAACAGGTCCAGCACTTAATCATAAGGGTGGCAAACTACCAACAGAGATTAACAACCATGCAACCCAGGTAGGTCGGCTATGCCAAGGTCAGAAATGCTAGATTGGAAAGAAGCCCGATGCAGCAGACTGGGTTGTCACACCTGACAAATCCCGAGGCCCCAGATTCTCCAGAAGCCCCTGAGTCTGAACATGGTCCAGACTCATGCTTGCAAACGATGTAGAGACCTCCTCCTGGGGCTCCTGCCCTCCTTTCAGGGTCTGCCCTCAGCTTTCCTCCTGCACTGGCTCAACAACTTGGCTTTCTTTACCAGGTAACCTGGCGCACCTGTTTTAATCAGCGGCAAGGGATGAGTGGCCCTGAATGAGAGGGTCTGATCCTCAGCAGATAGGGAGATGGAGAACAGAATATGGCGTCCCTGGGAGCAAAATGGATGGGCAGCAAACAAGGATACTGCTCGGCTTGTATAATCAAAAGAAATTCAGGAGGGCATGACCAGGAGCCTGAGGGCAATACTCCAATAATGAGTCATAATTCTTTGCCCAGCTTTTATGTCTGAGCCAGTACCTGGATCTGGAAACCGTCATCAGAGAAAAGGCTAGATTCTCAGGAGGAAGGCTCTGAAATATCATAAAAGGTGTACAGCATAATAACTCCCCCAGTCCTTCCCCAGAGGGTTCTTTGCAATTTCTCTGGCTAACTATATGCTGTGAAAATGAGATCAAAACATTTCCCAATAAAATGGCAGATATAGGAATTCACCTGCCTTCTATTAAGCTTTACGTTAAAGAGATTTGCAAACCTGTAAAACAGTGCCACTTTTCTATGTTTTTTGTTTGGGGAAATATAGCTATTTTTCATATACATATTTTATTTATACTAACATGTAATAGATTTATCATGAGTATTATTTTTACTGAATTAATATTTAAATTTTACCTGTTTTAATATTTTTTATATGGTGAATATCAATAAATATAATGCATAAAAATAAAATCTTGTTAGAGTCTTCAATTTTATGGGGTCCTGAGGCAAAAAAATTTAAGAGCTGCTGCAAGTGAAACCATCTATGTAATTTTGGGACAAGTTGTATAATGCTCTATAAAGTAATTAGAAGACCAGGAACACAAAATGATAGATATATAGCTATTATTGATATTCTATTTTCTCTGTGTAATAGGAGGCAATATCTGCTGAAAATGATGGGGGAAGTGATGGGAAGGTTCAGGAAAGAGATTTGATAAAGGCATGTGGGGAATGGAAATGATAGATCTGCTGAGGATAATATAAGAGGATTAAAGGGCAATTTTGAGAGCCTTGCGGAAGTTGACAACTTTGGGTTTAGAGTAAAACATATATATATATATATATATATATATATATATATATATATATATATATATATATATATATAGTCACGGGATGTGGAGTATAGTGTGGGAGCTGAGTCAAGGGAATTGTAATAGATATGTATGATATTGGGGGGGGGAAGTGGGGCGGCGGATTGGGGGAGGGGGGTTGTCACCTCGAGGGGTAAAAAGTATAACTATTGCACTGTGCTGTACAGCTGAAACTAATTCTAAAAAATGTGTATTTCACAATAAAAATAATTAAAAAAACAACAAACCATAATTGTGTGATTTTTTTTTCCCTTTAACAATATTCAGAAATCCATTGCAGGAAAGAAAAAGCAAATTGTTGAAGTGGGAATGTTCCAGTAGGTTTGATCAGAAAGAAAATAAGGCATCTTGTGAATGGTGTGATAAACTGTGTTTTATATACTGGAGGGGGGAAAAGAAGGGAAGAAAGCAGAGAGATGATTGAGAGGGAGAAAACAGAAGGGTTGAGAGATTTAAGTCTTCATTAGGAGGAAAAATGGAGTGAGAGAGTTGGTAGGATAGGAGGTTGGATAGTTTGAACTTTGGATTTCAGTGGTGGAGTAGATCCACCTGATGATAAAACCTGGCGTGTGATCATGAGAGTGGATGCCCTGTAGTGGAGATGATGGCAATAGGAGATGAAGAAATCAAGAACCCATGAGAATGGGTCTTCTGTTTGGACGTTAATGCAACTCTGAGTGATGGCAGAAGTTTTCTATCAACAAGGGATTGGCACAAACATAGCAATAATGAAGGATAAAAAGTGGCCTGGCTACACAAAAAGGAGAAATAATGATCTGAGCGAGGCTTCGCGGAGTAAGGGGACTGACCCTACCTCCTAACCAGGAGATAAAAGAAATGTGGGGAAATGAGCCCCCTTCACTTCAGGGTCTTTTAAAGCCCTCTTTGCAAGGGAGAGGACGTTAGGTTTCAGTTAAGGACAGGGAAGCACACACTAGAGACCCAGACTGTGGGAGAATTTGTTCCAAGAAGAATTGCATTCCAGAGGGCACAGTGGAAACAGGAGGCAAAGGAGGGTAGAACATACCTTCACCAGGCAACTACAAGCACAGCTTGTGAAGAAAATGTGAAAAGTGGGATGTTAGGATGTACTCATAGGTAGCGGAAAGGTTCCAAAAGAATTATGCAAGACTTCTCCGTTTGAGTCAACTGATGCAGTACCAAGTTTGTGAGTTTAATCACCTCTTCCTGTCATATTTTTCTTTTTATTTAGATTTCT